TTAATATAAAAATGCACAAATATTAAATAGCACAATTTTCTTGATGTTCATTGCACTGGAAATGAATGTAAACATAGAAAAGATTACTGAATTACTGAATTGGCAGACTAGCCCATCAGCTGATGCTCACAACAAAACGTGATGTTAGTAAGGATTTTGTTAATCAAATTTTTGTTCGTTAACCGTATTGAAGATTCTTATGGAAGGTAATTCGTTAACCAAAATTTTGTTGACCGAGGGACCACTGTAATCTGTGCTTATTAATACATGTACCCTTCATATACAATATAGTGGTCCCTCGGTTAACGAACGGTGTGATAACGAAATTTCGGTTAACGAAATCCTTATGACAAACACATTTTGTTGTGCGCATCAGCTGATCGGCTAGTCCGCCAATACAGTAATTGGTTCTATGTTTACATTTGTTTCCAGTAAATGTCAAGAAAGTTGGTCTCTTGAATGTTTCTGCATTTTTTTTTATTAAAATCATTGGTCATTTTGAAATCTAGTTAACATATTGATAATATACAGTACAGGGAACAGTTTTTGTGTGCCCATCAGCTGATTGAATCACCCAACAACACTTCTCCGTTTTACTTTGTTTACAGTGGAGTGAATATCAATTTTGTTGGTCTCTTGAATATTTTTGCATTTTTACATTAAAACTATTGGTCATTCTGAAATTTAGTTAACATATTGATTATATACAGGGCAGAAATTATTATAAAACATGAAGAAGGCATTAGAACCAATGCAATCTGTAAAAAATATGGCATTTTGTCATCATCGGCTGCACCTACAATTACCGATGAATGAATTGCAGGAATAGAAATGAATTATATTAAGATATTGTATAAAACTATGTTTGGTGTATAGCCGGGGAGAGGAAGGGGGGATGGAGGAAGGAGGGAGGACAACTCACCACCTCCGGCCCATGAGCCCTTCATAACAACAGTATGCAATTCACCACAATTCCTATATTATTTAGGTTCTTCTGATACCGGGTTAATAAAACATAATCGAAAAATAATTAATTTTCCCAAAAAATCCCACATCGCTGTACAGTCAACCCTCACTTTACGCGGTTAATTCAACCCACGGCGGCCCGCGTAAAGTGAACAACATAACATATGGGATTAATTGAAATAGAGACCGGGCCGACCCCCAAACTCCACTTTTTGACGACACACAACTATGTTGTAGTAAAAATATTATCTTAACTTTATGATGGTATGCACACACAATTAATATAGAAGAGGTTAGGTTAGGAAAAATAAAGGTTAAGTTAGGAAAAATAAAGGTTGGGGTTAACACTTACGTTAGTAGAAGAGATGGGTCGGCGTACGGGAATGGAGGCTGGTTTCGAGGCAGAGGGCAGGCTACTGGCCCTCAGGTGAGTCACCATCACTGTCATCCACACTTGTCAGGGCCTCCCTGACAAATCCCTCAAAGTCATCATCACAGTCTCTACCTCTGTCACTATCAATGGCTTGGGTTGGCTGTGGTGGGTTGCGGGCGAAGAACTCTGTTATGCTTTGCTGACGGCTGGTGTTTGTGTTGTCGTGATAAACCTTGATGTAGGGCTCCATAGTCTGCAACAGCTGGGTAGTGAAGATTTCATACCTGTTAGCGTCAGGGTCGTCGGAAAGGAGGAGCTTGACTTTCTCGATACACTCGATGGCACCCCTAACATTACTATGGGATAAGCGGTGTTCTTCTTGGGATGATGCACCACCTGCCTCTTCACTGACGTCATCATCATCTACCATCTCGTCGGTAGTCACATCAGGATCCCTTATCACCTCCAGGATGTCGTCGTTGGTGGTCTCGGAGAAGCCTGCAGCTGTAACACTCTGCGCAGCTTCTCTGGCAAGGTCCACTGCTACTGCAACAGTCTGAACCTCACCAGTCACAGATTGACTCTGCCTAACGGCCGGAATGTCTTGCAACACATGTCTCCATGCGTGACGAACAGTTGCTACAGACAGCTGATCCCATGCCTCCACCAATAAGTCCACAGCTTTCTTGATGTTGAATATTCTCCAGAATTGTTTTAAAAGTACTTGTTGCTCTGCCAACTGTTGATCCTTGTCGTCTTCGCTCTTGCTATCGGTGGTGGTGTCACTCAGGTTACGCAACTCTTCCCTGGTGTTGGTGTAGTCGTTCAGGAGCTTGAATTTTTTAAGTAGAGAATGCAGCTTTTACATTACAGATTAACTCTTGGTCCATGGGCTGTAATATAGACGTAGTGTTGGGAGGAAGGAAGACCACTTTTACGTTGGGGTGACGATCTAACAGTAGGGGCGAGTGTCCTGGTGCGTTGTCCAGCAGCAACAAAATCTTGAATGGCACATTCTGTTGCTCACAGAATTTCTTCACGTCGGGAATGAAAGTCATCAAACCAGGAGAGGGACAGTGTAAAGAACATCCACGCCTTACGTGCGGTCAGCCAGTGGACATTTAGCTTGGTCATGTCCATGCTCTTGTAGGCGTGCGGCTTGCGTGCTCTGTGGATCACCGATAACTTGAGCTTACAGGTACCGGAGGCATTGGTGGTAAACAGGACGGTGATGCGCTCCTTCTGCAACTTCCGGCCCCGAATCTTGCTGGCATTCTTCACAACGAAGGTCTTGGAAGGTAGCTTTTTCCAAAAAAGACCAGATTCGTCCATGTTAAACACCTGGTCGTCGGTGTACTGTCCTTCCTACTTAGTCTCACGTAAAAACGGAGGAAATTCCCTAGCCGCAACACGGTCAGCACTAGCTTCTTCACCACCAATGTTGATATTGGTGATCTTGTTCCTCTTCTTAAACCTCTGTAACCACCCAGAGGAAGCATTAAAGGGTTTGGGCTCTGTAATTCCCATCTTTCGTGACACTGCAGCATGCAGTTCACGTGCGTACTCCTTAACAGAGCGCGTGTCCACCGCCATGTTCCGTCGCGCCTGACGCACCAAGTAGCTCACAAGTAATTTTTCCGTCTTGAGAAGCACCTGGTTGTGGAAATACTTGATCATAGAAGCACCTGTAGACTTTGTGATGTTCATGTGCTCCTTTATCTTGGCTGCATCCTTCTTAATTGTCCTGATCGTAGACTCGTTAACACCATGCTGGCGCGCGAGATCAACCTGTCTTGTTCCTTTCTCCAACTCTTGTATGATCTTATACTTAATTTCGTAGCTTAAGGAACGTCGTGTCTTCTTTGGCTTAGGGCGGCTGGGTCCAGGTAAGGAAAGGTTTCTCTCTGGGGGCAGTGGTCCAGCGGAAGCCATTTTACAGAACAATGGATGCACGATTACATGGTGTGGCCTGGAGGGATGAAACTGCCGCGGCTAGGTCAAGCGTCGTCTTTCCTCCCTCCCTCCCTCCCCCGGGTGGACACGTCATATTACTTTAAACCAATTACAGTTAGCAGCGGAGGGAGGTAGGGATGCATGGCCAATCACAGTCTGATACGTCATATGACGTCACTGATAACACAACAGAGACATGCACTGTGCAACCTTACCGCGCGGCTTGCCCAGGCGGGAGCAGGCGGGAGGGGCGAATCTAAAAATAGCGTCGAGCCAGACACTCTCCGCGTAAAGGGGTACACGCACCGCGGAATGTGAGCATTCCGGTTTCGGCAGGGTACCGCGTAAACGTGGAATGTGGGACCGCGTAAAGCGAGGGTTGACTGTATATTCTCATTTTTTTGTTTACAGAGAAGAAAGTTGACATTGCTCTCCCTAATACCCCCTGTAATGTTCTCAATACTCACCATCTTTCAATCACCATTGTTGTCACTGCTCAAGAGGGTTGGTGGTTACCACAAGGTCTGTCTTGAGCAATTAATATATAATATTGTAGCATATTTTTCAGAACTTAATAAATATTATTGTAGAGTACATGTATGATGTGTCTCATCTGCCCTGGTTTATTCACTGATCAGTTGTCTAAGTGCAAAAGTAGCCAAATCAAGCCATCATGTATTAATTAATTTTTAATTATAAAGTAAAATGTTATAAGACAATGGTTTAGTAGTGCTGTTAATGTGTGTGTTGTGTAAGTGTCTTGGCATGTCACCTCACCACCTGCCTCATCACCTCACCACTTGCCATGTCACCTCACCACCTGCCTCATCACCTCAGCACATGCCTTATCACCTTACCTACTGCCTCGTTACCTCACTTACTGCCTCGTCACCTCACTTACTGCCTCGTCACCTAACCACCTGACTCGTCACCTCACCCTCTGCCTTGTTAGTTCAGCTCAGAGTTACATTGATTTATACTGTATAATTAAATTTTTTAGTATAGTTTGTACATTTAAAGAAAAATTTATGTTTGCACAGTAATTATAAATAAACCCAGAGCAAAAAAATCCAACGTTACCCAAGCGGCTGGTCTTCCCACCCATGCACCAAACCATGTGATGCAGTTAAACATGATGCAATCTTTTATAATCCCAGGAACCTTTGTCCCCCAGGCCCTGAACAGAAAGGTTTGGAGTGATATTCTCTCCATTTTATCAGATTATCCGGTAATTACGCATTATTTCATAATCAACATTTGCTCCCAGTCCCAGAATTATAAATTTGGACAGATTTTCCGCTGTTTTTTAATTTTCAGAAAATGCTCCTGATTTTCAACCTAAGAATTTGTTCTCAAGCCCGGAACTGAGAGAATTTTCTGGAAATATTCCGAGCAAATTTCAATTCCAGCTATTGGAGTGTAAAATATAATTACCGTAACCATATTTCACACTTCAACTTAAAAAACTTAAAGGACCTTCTTACCAAATGGTCAAGAATAATGTTAAAATTAAATCTATTTAAATGTTAAATCCCAGTGAAGACAGATCCTTTTGTTAATTTATATACTGTACATTGCACTTTAAAGTAAATGCACTTCAGAGCTATTACGGGTTAGAGAAGTCCTAAACATCAAATTGAAGTCAAGGCTTTATCTATATTATGCTTCTTGATAACTTAATTCACTTTAGGAAACATCTCTACCTTACCTGAAAATCAAGAATAATATCGAGTAAACAGTAAAGAACCACATCATCTGTGAATGAGATGAAGGCATTCCATATTCTGTGTAGAGTCCACCTCGTAGCACAGGCCGCGGCTCTGCTATAATGTTCTTCAGTACCAAGTTTATGACTTCATTTAATAGTGCCCCAGCAAAAAACATTATCTGTAAAGAGATGTGGACCTGAATATTCTCTATAATGCTAGTTAACTCCACTGTTTAATACCAATTATTTTTAAATAACATTTAGACTTACATTGTCTACTGTTGACTATGTATTATTACCTTTCCTAAACTTTATCCAAACGAAGACATAAGGAAAAAATTCACAAGGAAAATTACAGTGAGATAATAGAGGAATACAAACAAGGAAAGTACAGTAAACAATTAGCATATTACACAAAATGAAAATGAAACACAGTAGCAAAATCCAATTCACATCCTTAATTTATACTTCATGCAAGGTTTGAGAGAGTCCACCAGCAAGGTGGCCTGCTGCCAGGAAACATTTTTTGTAATCAAAACCACACAGGATATTTTTTAAGGAAAGTGGATAAAGCTATTTGATATTTTGCAGTAAAACAAATTGTCTGGAAAAGACAGGACAGCACAAAGTAATCAAAAATATGGTCAATGAAAAATTACAATAAAAAAAGGTTCCAAAACAAACTGCAAAATACTGATTGGTTGCATGTGACAAATTGAGTGGAGGTAAACGAAGCCTCAAAGAAGATCCAAACTACTTTTACTGGTGTCCTTGATGCTGTAGCAAAGTTAAAGAAGATAAGAATAAAAACTAGGAATGAACCTTGGATTACTAGCGAGATATTAGAATAAATCAGACATAGAGATCAACTTGCTCATAAGTGCTTTGAAATTTGCAATAAACCTGATACTTTGCTAATCCGGATCACCTTTACCCCCCCAATTAGTTGGAATTAATGAGGTTTCACTGGGCTACTAAGTGAAAAACTGCAGACTTTCAGCATTGGGTCTGTTGACTGGTTTAAATCATATCTTAGCAACAGTAAACAAATTGTCATTGCAAATAACCTGTGGAGTCCCACAAGAAAGTATCCTAGGACCTTTGTTCGTCCTCTGCCGATGACAGTGCCTTTTTAATGTCAGGTAAAGATGATATAGCGGAGTTATCATCTGAACTGGAGTCATGCAAACAGTGGCTCATAGATAATAAACTAGCCCTACATCTTGTTAAGACTGAAGCAAAATAATCTGGAGAAAAAATAACTAACTAAAAAAGGTAAACAAATTCATTGTACAGTACTATGTGGGAATGAATTCATCTCAACTGTAACCTCAGTGAAATTCCTTGGACTAACTCTTGACTATCGTTTGTCTGGTGAGTCAATTGTAGATAGTACTGTACATGTATAGTTAAAAAAAATATTACCCAAATAAAACTTCTTTTTCAAATGCAAAATACCTCTCAGCTGATGCTGATAGTACCCCTTGCTTGGTGCTCATACAATGTCACTTGAACTATTCCTGCTCATCATGGTACTCTGCCTTAAGACAGACACTAAAATCCAAGCTACAAATTATTCAAAACAAGGCTTTGAGGTTCATTCTTGATATTCTTGGTCACAAAGTCTTACAATCACTGAACATATTAAGTGTGGCAGATATAGTGCAGTAAACTTGGCTGAACCATGCTTACAGGATTTTCAATGGACTGTACCCAGAGTCCTCGACAACAAAATTTGCAAGGATTAGGGATATGAACCAGCAGGGCACTAGAGAGAGTGAACATAATTTTATGGTACTGTACCTGGTGTCTGTGGTCAAATGAAAAACACTTTCTTCTTTACTGCTATTACAGACTGGAACAAATTACCACACCACATCAAAACCAGTTACAGTATTAAACAATTCATAGCTACAAAAAAAAAAAATACAAAACAGTTGAAGCTACAGCAAAGGAAGAGAGTGAGATTCTATGTTATTAACCACAAATTGTTGTACTGTTCAAGTGATCCACCAGCTTCGCAACACGGGTAACTATATACTCCCACAGCCTATGTGCCCCATATACCGACATTGCCTATATTCATGCTGAACTGTATACTGTACCTGCATAGTTTATAAACATACCTATCCAATCTAAACTTGTATGACAATTTTACTGAATAAATATTATTATTGTAGATATTAAATCTAGGTTAATAAAATGTAATAAAAAAAAAATATATACCTGTACTATAATTACCTAAGCTAGCCCCGTACGCTTAAAATAGCGGTACCCAAGAACAAGTGATCACCTAAACTTTAAAAAGGTACTTAGCTATTATTTTAGGGGCTGCTATGGGTTGTAAAGAGTCTTGGAGGAACTGAGAAGCTGGAATATCCTTGGGTTGCCGGCTGTCTACTACATTTTGGAGAGTTGAGTCTGCCTCCCATGAAGTGTGAAATGAGAATGGCACTTTTACTGCCTTGTACAATTGCATGACCCAATCACGCAGAGATACATAAACAAGAACTAAATATTCATTATTATTTTTCTTTACAATACTATTTCTTAATAGAAATAAATATTGACATTTTTAGTTAACTACCGCCACCGATATCGTGTAAATTAAATGGTATTAAAGTGATCAATAGAGAAAGAGGAATACCGCACTACTTCCCGTGAAGTAATCCATCTTGCGGGTGTCAAATAGTGTCTTTTCCACTAACTTTTGTACACTCCACATATTCATTTCCCTAACCTAACTAGCTAATTAAATCATTAATTAATTCGCAAATTATTTACATATACCACATTGGATTGTTATTCCAAGTCCGATAACACACAAGATCACTACTACGGTGCTTCAAGGACCTGGAGGATAAAGGTGGAAATTAATTCCCATAATTATTATAATCTGTGAATTTGCAACAGCAACAGGTATAGTTTCACTGATGTATTTATGTAGACTTTCGGTTTCTGAACACTACTTAAAATTCACAGACAGTATCTATTCAATCAGAGGTTTACTCACTAAACTGCATGTCAAATTGAGTAAACCTAGCAAATTGGCAACATTGCCACAGATCCGTGGCAGGAGATATTTTGGGGCTGAAACACTGCTGACAGGAAGGAAAAATATTCATCAAGCCCTAAAGCCATGTACAGTAGAGATATTCCTCAATTTATGGGAGGGTTCTGTTCCAGAAAAACCTTTCGTAAAAAATCTTTTTGCTAATTAAAACAAAGACCTGTATAGTATAACCATGGACTTCCACTTTAAAAACTGATACATTCCTTTAAAAAACGTCTTGAAATGCTACAAAACATGAAACTGAACAAGACTGACAACAAAGTGAACAAAATGAAATGATAACCCAACATCTATACTGTACAAGCAATTCTCTATTTATGAACACTGGAGATATAATCCAGTCCGTATGTCCAATAATTGTTCATTGAAATTTCACACCTTGCTATAAGTACACACCTAAGCACGCCAGGTGGTAGTGCAGTCGACGTTGCCTGCTGTTGCTGCCACCATCTTTTGTTGTCTTGTGACAGAGCAGCATCTCGCAACCATGCCACTGTCTCCAAATATTTATTTAGAGTACTTAGTTTTTAGTTTTAGTGATGCAATAAGATATATTATACTGTACAGTACTCAGGTTAGTGTTTGGAGTATTTTCTGTAGTATTACATAGTCAAGTAGTACTATAAAAATTAACGAAATATAAGCCACTTACTGTATGTAAATCTCTTCTGAAGAGAATTAGGGTAACAAACCCAATGACAATGGCTACAGGTGCTAAGCTGCTTATTGCCAAGAATTTTCCTATTGTATCTCCTGTAAAAGATTAAATATTGTCAGTGAAGCAACTTGTATTAATACTTACAACATGATCTACCATCCAATGTTATAATACAAACCCTTTATCACCTTTAAAGAAAACAAACCCCCTCATCATCTTCAACTTAATTACTGTATAGTGCTTTTTGTATAACACATTTTTGCCAAACTACAGAGGTGTATAAACATGTTATATACTGTACTGTATAGAGTACAGTAATCCCTCACCAACTATGGTTTTACCAACAGCAGTTTGAGTATCCATGTTTTATATTTTGTAGACCATTTTACAAACCACAGTATCCAGTTTTAAATATCTGCAGGTTTCCACAGCCACCGAGAGAAATTTCTACCCCAACGTGGAGGGAATTTTCACTAAATCAGGTTTATCAAGTGGTTGTTCTTATTTCCTTTATCATATATGTTCCCCATAACAATAATTTGTAATCATGTACCATACCAAGAGCCTCTTCCTACTCTAACCTTTTTCACCAATTTGCATATTTTCATCCTTCATGCTGCTATTTATGATATATGCCCTTCTACTGTCTTTACAATAATCCTCTACACCTCTTGTGGTCTGGGCATAGTCACCCTGTTCACTGAATCACTATTCCTTGTAATGTGTTTTAACCTTTATTGCTAAAATGCACTCTAAATATTTTAATATAGAAACACCTTTTTTCTATCAATATGGAATAAAATAACACTATACACAAAAAATGTAAAATAAATATATTGTACAGTAGGGGGCAGGGAAAAAACACTTTTATTTGAGTTGCAGGCTGCACTTTTCAGGCATCGTTTGTATGGCTGTAACAAACACCTGTGCAAAATTTCATGCCATTTCATGCATACTTACCCTGCCGCATCGCGAACGACTTTTTGTCAACTTTTAGTGTACAGTTGGTCCTCATATTACGCGGTTAATGTAACCCGGAGGGTCCCGCGGAAAGTGAGGAACGCGTAAAGTGAACAACATAACATATGGGATTAATTGAAATGGAGTCCAGGCCGATCCCCAAACTCCACTTTTTGACGACACACAACTATGTTGTTGTAAAAATTTTATCTTAACTTTATGATGGTATGAAAAAACAAGTAATATAGAAGAGGTTAGGTTAGGAAAGATAAAGGTAAACATAGGAAAAATAAAGGTTAGGTTAGAAAACTAAAAATTTTGTGTAACACTTACGGTAGTAGAAGAGATGGCTCGGCATACGGGGATGGAGGCTGGTTCCGAGGCAGAGGGCAGATTACTGGTCCTCAGGTGAATCACCATTACTAGGTGAATCATCATCACTGTCACTTACAGTTGTCAGGGCTTCCCTGACAAATCCCTCAAAGTCAACTTCACTGTCACTATCACTGGCTTGGGCTGGCTGTGGTGGGTTGCGGGTGAAGAAACCTGTTATGCTTTGCAGGTAAGGAAAGGTTTTTCTCTGGGGGTGGTGGTCCGGCGGAAGCCATTTTACGGAACAATGGATGCGCATTTACACGGAGTGGCCTTGTGGGATGAAACTGCCGCGGCTAGGTCAAGCGTCGTCTTTCCTCCCTCCCTCCCTCCACCGGGTGGACACGTCATAATACTTTAAGCCAATTACAGCTAGCAGCAGAGGAGGGTAGGGATGCATGGCCAATCACAGGTCTGATACGTCATATGACGTCAGTGATAACGCAACAAAGACACACACTGCGCAACCTTACCGCGCCGCTTGCCCAAGCGGAGGGAGGAGGAGGGAGGAGGAGGGAGGAGGAGGGAGAGGCAGGCAGGCGGGCGGGCGGCGCGTGGGGAAAATCTAAAAATAGCGTCGCGCCGGACACTCTCCGCGTAATGGCGTTCGCGGAATGTAAGAATGTTAGGTTCTGGCAAGGCACCGCGTTAACGGTGAAACGCGGAATGCGGGACCGCGTAATATGAGGACCAACAGTATACCAAAAATTAGGTGTCATTTAATGTTTTCCAGGATAATGATAAATTTTACATGGGTGACATCGATTTAATTCACATGTTATTTTACAGGTACACCGTATATAAAATCATTACAAGTTCATATTGAAATTCTTTTTTGTGCGGAACCTTGGCATCATTTTCCTAGACAATAATCTTTGCCTAATATATCCATCTCTCGATTCGTATCCCGTCACTTCAGTGCAAGCTTCAGTCATCACTTTTATGCCTCTCTCGACCGCCTGAGTGCTGTTTGGCCACTTGGGCACCACTAATGGTGTCTCAAGAATGTCATTAACCTGTAGATTTGACAGAGAAGCAATGTAAGGAGGCTCAGTCTTGAGTTCATTCCTCCAGTTAATCATGGAATGATAGTTTTTTGCTTGCCACTTTAGTTTCGGAGTCACCACCTTTCTCATGTTGACTACAGGAGGCACATCCTCATTCCCATCTCCATCTTTACCCTCCTCATCAGTATAGTTTAACAAATTCTCGTCAACAGCAGCATCAGAATCTTCCTCCTCCTCTTCAGATCTGCCAGTGCATTCTTCCTTTTGCTGATTCTCCTCTCTAATTTTTCTTATCATTGAGACAGCTTTTTCTCTAACAGTCATGTCCTCATCTGCACACATACCAAGAAGAAGTTGATCTGTGTGGGCGAAGTATGCATTTCTCTGGACAGCCTTCTTCACTATCGTCTCCTCCTCACTATTCAGGTGTTTCATATATAGCAGGGACTGGAATACGTTCCTTGAGCCGTGTGTTACGTAAGGGTGTATCTTGATGTAAAACCACATTGGAGCACTGAACTTTATTATTGTAATGACAATTCTTTTCAACTCATGGCTGGGTCTTGATGTTGCTACATACAGCCTGAGGATTCTACTCCATAAGGTGTTCCACCTTGACACACAGGGAGGACCTGGCTCAATAGCAGCCAAGTCATCTTCAACAACACCTGTGATAACTCCTTTACAAATCCTATACAGGTATTTCTGATCCCAGGACAGATCTTTCTCCACTTCATCATTAAACACAGGGAAATCAGGGAAACTGACTGGCTGGAAGGCGACAACTGGAAGCTCAGACAAAGACTCCTTGATCTGCTTTCCAATGGGACCACGCCAATGCTCAGGACCACTTGGTTTACCATCATAGTGATAAAAAACTGCGCGGAAAGGCAGCTCATTTCCGTGAAGCTGACATATGAAATAATGGAGCGGGTGACCAAGTAACATTTCAAGATGATGAATGACTCCATTTTCTGATCCTACATTTACATTGGTTCCATCACAACCAACACACACAATGGGCTGCTGGGTTAGATTTTTCTCCACCAGAAACTCGTGAATAGTTTTGGCAATCTGCTTTCCGTGTCCAGTCTTGGGAGTCACATGTGTGAGATATTCATTGCCAGGCTCAACCATGATGACATAATGATCTTTCACCATCATCCTCGAACTCCATTTCTCGGTCTTCTCATTCTTTATCATCACACGAGTGGCGGTCTTCTTACCATCAAAATAGAGTGACGTCAAATTATCTAAACTAGCCATCTCAATTTCTTGCCTCTTAAATCGGTATTTTTGTCTCGCATCCCGCAGCTTATGTGGTCCAATAACCTGACTCTTGTCATCCTTTGTGATAATGCCATAGTCAGTTAAGGTGGCAGTAGCAATGGCAGCTCCAGCATAATCACTAATCAAGTATCGGTCACAAGCGGCAGCCAGTGTAGGGAGTCTTGTCCGGTTCTGTGAACTGGTGTCTGTCAGAGCCCTTGGATCAGGGACAAAAGGCTGATAATCAATATAGACATAGCACCATACTCATCTGCAACAAGACAACTTAAATGAAATAAGAGATATGAAAAAAAAGTTGATAAACACTGAACAGAACATTGCACCGCCACAGCGGCTGTTTGGCTAGTACTGTAGGTAAATTTAAAAATTTCAGTAGAAAATGCGGCAGACTAAACCTCGACATATCAGCTTCAAATTTGGCATGGAGTCTTAGATATGTATAAGGAACAATGCCTGAAGAGTGCAGCTTTGAGCAAAATTTCACTGCCCCCTATTGTACAGTACCCTGTACCTGTATGTCTTTGAAAAAGTGTAAAGAATAATATACAGTATGGTACACTACATTTTACATTGTTCTATGCCATAAAAAATATCCTTAAAATACAGTACAATTTAAACATAAAATTATGAGAAGTCAGCTTAATAAAAAAATTTAAAAAATGGGATAATACCCTACATTTTTCCTCTACTTCAAAGCCCTGCCCACTTTGAGCAAGTAATATTATTGGTAATTTTATCGGTTAAAATACTAAAAAAAATATAAATTTCCGACGGAAACACCATAGAATAAATTATTTTTATTTTATTCTCTTTCTCCCTATACAAGACTCAATATATAAGTACCTGTGGGTGTTGGCAACTTCTAAATATTTAACAAATCATATAAATTTCTTAAGGTCATGATGCCACCAAATACGTTGAGGGTAATTGCTGTATTGATGACTGACCGCCGGCATTCTTTCATAGAAAACAATTATAAAAATGACGAAATTTCACTGTCTTATAGTGGACACTGTCGTAGTTTGTGCAAATGCGTTAAAAAGTGGATATTTATAGTTTTAACCTAACCTTAGTTGTTAAGAAAAACAAGCAGCAGAACTGATGTTAGAAGACCTCACCAACCTAACTTCCTAGCCGTGGGGCTCCACCCCTCTGACTCCCGGCATATCAAACAGAAAGAACTCCCTATGGTTTGGTGTAATCTTACTTATTTTGTGGACGTGAGAGCAGCTGCACAGGCTCATAAAGTACACTGAGCATAGGCCTTGGTTAGAGAGTGGTACAGGGGAAGTGTTTTGAAATATGTCAATATGATTGGCTGTTTACATCCTGGGATGAGACATCATCGCTGCATTACCGCCGAGAAGACAAGTAGGGTAAATATTCGTCCATTTGCTGTGCTTAGGTTTTGATACAAAAATAGTATTTTTTTGTGTGTGTATTATGGTGTATTTTATTCAAATCTGACCTTCATTTCTTGTGCAAATTAGCAGCTTTTGAAAAAAAATTACATTTTCATTTGGAACAGAATCCACTAATTTGCACCAAATGGCAGTCAAGTTTGAGTAAAACACACCATAATACACCCCCCCCCCCCGAAAATAACTAAACTAACCTAACCATTTTTGGAACTTACCTGCTACTGTGGTGGAGGATACAGCTGGATGATCTGGTATGCTTATGGATACAGACAAAAGAATTTGCCTTTCCTTAAAAGTAAACAATTTCCACATGTAGGACACTGTGATCTTGTAATATTTGGATTGCTTCACTGTTATTCTCATAAACTCGCTGAGTAACAGCTACATAAGGGAGAGAACACTTCTCACACGCCATCACGAGCCTTCAAAATTTGAAATCGTGCGGTGGATGGCCGCTTCAAAATAATTGGCCAGCAAGTCACATGACATGAAACTTGAAGATCATTGGCTGTCATGTTGCGAAGAGGAGGGGAGGAGAGAAGTGACTCTGGCAACATGGCAGGATAATTATTCGTTTCAGCACACCCTCAATTTTTTTCATGAGATGTTTGATTTCTGATGTACTTTGATGTGCTTTGTTCAGATCTGACCTGCATTTCCATGGGAATGCATCATTATAAAAAAAGCAAGTCATCCTTGATCAAAAATGGCTATTTTCCATCAAAAAACGAAGGTGAAATCTGAACAAAATACATCCAAATACATCAGAAACCAAACATGTAGACCCCTAAATTTCACTAAATTAACCTACTTTTACCTAATCTCACCTAACCCCTGCAGGGGCCCTAACCCATGGCAGTGTGACATGCCTCACGGCTCCAGACAGCTCGCGGTGAGACAAGAAATGGTGGTTGGAGATTTATTTACCTAATTTTTTAGGCGTTCCTCACTTGTAAGATTTTTCTGAAAGAAACTCATTTCCAAGAGGCTTCAAGGGTTGAGGAATGTATATATGTGGCGGGTACAGAAATTTACGCCTCAAATTTTGATACTGTACTCCATTAATGTTGATGTGCACAAGAAATGATATGGAGTTGTATGGTTTTTTTTTATAGCCTTTGCGTCTGTAATACAGTATTGAAAATTGGAAACTTGCAGACAGCCAATGGAAGAATATTAACCCTAAGTGTATATTTATCTACCAAGAAATGATTATCATATCAGAACTCACTGATGAAAATATAATAAGAAAATAAACATTAAAACAAATAAAGCGTCGGCGGGTCAATTGTCAATATTAACCATCTAACTATATGCTCACAATCCAACCTTCACTGTAAATATTCTGTATTTGACAAGGGTGGTGATCCACCAAGCCATGTAAAACCCAGTTTACAAAATTTAGTGATTTACCTTTAGGATATTCCACGAATGTTAAGGAAAAAGGCTTCCAATCTAAATCAGTCATTGTGAGGGGAGGAGTGGACATAACAAGAGCCCGGCAGCTGACTGATGACTGACTCTCACTGCCTCACTCACTCCTCCAACTCAACTCCACAAAGTGTAAACAAACATTGATCCTTTATAGCTTGGCTCTCTTTAAGAGAACCCGCTATATCTTGACTGATAAAATAAATACACACGTATAAAGTCATTTCGCAATAATTTTAATATTCGAATATGTTAAAAATATTAATGAAATATTAAAATCCCTTAGTGAAACCCAGCGTCCGAAACAGTCTAAGAAACTATCCGGTGTTCGTTTGTTGGCGGCTCTTACGGACGGTCCACACGCCGAGCCTCGAGTCGATACAAGTTATTTTGGGTATGACCATTTTAATTGCACTGGATAAATGATTTTTCCACAAATATACTGCATAAAGTATTAAAAAATCAGGTTTCATTATTTAAGAGAGGGATTTTGTTTTGTATTATTCACCCACGATCCCGGAGTTCTATTGTGGGGTTGTAGTGGATTTCTCCCCTACAAACGCTGTTTGTCGCTGAGTAGCCGACCCCGCGAATTCCCAGTGTATGTCTCGTGGTCTAGGTCAATCAGCGCCGCCATACATCACGGAGGTCAACTATTAAGCCACGCCTACCTCCGCTATATAAGACCTGACCTCGTGGTGACCTAGCTCTCTCTTCTTCTACCTACAGCTGCAGCAAGCAACTCCACCTCCTCCGCCGCTGCCTGGCCGCCCTCGCTCCCGCCGGCGAGCATGGAGACCCACAAGCTGTCCTCCAATGAGCACCCTCACCAACCAGCTCTCTCTACATCACGTTTGTAACCACGCTGCCACTTCCCAGCACCAAGCTGCATTGTACATCCAATACAATATGTATACAGAGAGTACATTGTGAGTTTCCTTTCTCCATCCCATCCTGAGAGAGAACAAACATCTCGTACCCCACAGGGTTATGGGATGTTTGGTTCAGTGCAGCTTGGTGCTGGGAAGTGGCAGCGTGGTTACAAGCGTGATGTAGAGAGAGCTGGTTGGTGAGGGTGCTCAGAGGAGGACCAGCTTGTGGGTCGCCATGCTCGCCAGCGGGAGCGAAAAACATAAGAACTTAAGAATGGAGGAAACTGCAGCGGGCCTATTGGCCCATACTGGGCAGTCCCGTTTACACCCAACCCCTATTGCTCATATAAGCATCCAACCTATGTTTGAAGCTATTCAGCGTATTGGAGTTAATGATGATATTTGATAACTTGTTCCATTCATCCACTACTCTGTTTCCAAACCAGTGTTTACCTATTTCGCGCCTAAATCTAAATTTGTCTAATTTAAAACCATTGTTACGAGCTCGCTCCTGGTTGGATAGTTTGAGTACCTTTGTAATGTCCCCTTTGTTTAGCCCTGACTTCCATTTATACACCTCTATCAGGTCGCCCCTCGCTCGCTCTACGTCAAGTAAACACATTGTTTACTTGGCTTAAGGTTCCTACTTATCATTACTCCTAAATCTCTCTCGCAGTTGGATTTCTCTGTGGCATCGTTGTTCATCTGGTTTTCCTGTTTACATCTCCTATACTGAGTACTTTACATTAGTCCACGTTGAATTTCATTGCCATTTTTCAGACCATTCGAAAAATTTGTTTAGATCTTCCTGTAGTTTTACAGAGTCCTCGCCAGGCAGGAGCGGAGGAGGTGGTGTTACTTGAATACTAGCTGTAGGTAGAAAGAGCTAGGTCACCACGAGGTCAGGTCTTATATAGCGGAGGTAGGCGTGGCTTAATAGTTGACCTACGTCATGTAAGGCGGCGCTGGTTGACCTAGACCACGAGACATACACTGGGGAATTCGCGGGGTCGGCTACTCAGCGACAAACAGCGTTTGTAGGGGAGGAATCCACTACACTATCATAATTTTTAGGTGTTGATGGAACTTGTTACACTCTAATAGACCTTAATTACTGTTGTTATTAAAGAGCTGTAATAACATAATGTCAAGTAGTGTAACGGTCTGCTCAAGCTATTTTATGTACTGCTTTGTGTCATGCCATTTTTAATGCATACAAGTCTTTCCCTGTCATCAAAGAGACAGTTATTGATCTCCAAATTTTTAACATTCAACAGCTTGTGGGTTATCCCATGAATGTTGAATTGTGGAAAAAACTAACCATTCTCAATACAAGGCTTTCCACAGCGTACCCCATGAAATGGAAGGATATGGAATTCGCCGATCCGGGGAAGTGTCCTGGCGTGGATCGGAGACTTTCTTCATGACCACTGGTGATTAATGGCACGAAATCGTCATGGGTACCCGTGACTAGTGGAGTACCACAAGGCAGTGTACTGGGCCAGTTGTTGTGGTTTTTTTATCATAAATGAAACGACTTTTTCAGCCTTTCATGGGTAAGCTGTCGAAAGCCTTGGCAAAATCAAGGTATACAGTATATTGTCAATATTTCCACCCTGTTCCAGAATTTGGGTTCATACATCCAGTACCTTGAGTAATTGTGTTAAGCAGGAGCATCCCGGCATAAAACCGTGTTGGCATACCTTTAACCAGGTTGTCACTTTTACTTTACTTTTATCCTATTCACCACTGATCGGCTCGTTAGCCGCTTGGGCGATCGGTCACGTCTCTGATTACTTTTCCTTTTCTTTTATCCTCTTCACCAAAAGATCGGCTCGTTAGCACCTTGGGCGATCGGTCACGTCTCTGTTACGCACTGTTGGTAAGTATTGGGCGTGCACCGGCTCCTGAATGTACCAAAATCTGCTCCAATGTTGGTCAAGTCTGGTCTTGAAAGAGCTTACACTCGGTGCCGTCACAACACTTTCTGGTAGATTGTTTCAAGAGTTCACACCTCTCACCCCAAAATGATGTGCCCTCACAGTTTTCTGGACCTGCGGCTTCTTCAATCTTAAGCTGTGACCCCTTGTGGGGCAAGAGTCCGCCAGCTCCAAGTAAGGACACTCGACTGACTAGTGCCCCTTGAGATGCTTATACACTTCTATTAGGTCACCCCTTGCCCGTCTGTAGTATAAGCTAGGCAAGTTCAGGAGCTCCAATCTCTCAGGGTAACTTAGGTGCTGAAGTACAGGCACCAGGGTAGGAATTCGGGGAAATGTCCTAGCGAAGATATAAGACTTTCTACATGACCGCAAGCAGTGTGTGCAGGGTCGGATTTACCTACTTGTGGGCCCCAGGCCAAGCTCATCAGTGGGCCCCCAAATTCATAGAAATGTTTGCATGTTTCAATAATCAATATATATATATATATATATATATATATATATATATATATATATATATATATATATATATATATATATATATATATATATATGTATATATGAGTAGGCTGTAAGTCATGTCATGTTTATTGAGTGTGCCTTCCCGTATACAGTGTGTAGAGTATTGACATGGTGGAGATGAGAGGCCCAGAGAAGGTTGGAGTGTGTAAGAGGAGTTTTGTTTATGCATAATTATAATCACCTGACTCAGACGCCCACCGAGAGAGGGTTGGGGAGGCGACAGCAGGGCAATGTAGCTATTCAGACCACAGAGGCAACACCTAACCTGGTTCCTCTGTAGTTATTCAGATCACAGAGGCAGCACCTAACCTGGTTTCTCTTGAGACTTTCAACACGTAAGTTCAACTGGTACTTACTGTATTGTGTACACAGGTAGACTGTGTCCATTGCATTGTTTATCATTGTGACGACATAAAAATATGGAAAATTAAGTACTCATTGTAGGTGTTAAGATTAGACTGATTACATAGCTATGATTTATATGTAAATATATATTGGATTAGATATTTATGTGATTGCCTATGTATGATTTATTTGAAATACTAAAATGAATTGTATTCAACAGGTTTGACCGAATTATAATGTTCGAGTTCAACGACACAAGTTTCATTAAACCATTTAACCGCCCGGATGGTCAAACGTGATGGTCTACCGTGTAGCAGAAGGAGCTGATCAGAGCGAACCAAGGTCAACTCAACTCAACCCACTGGAGGGATGTACGTACGCGTGTGTTCTCAGTGCCACGGAGTACAGTGCAACGCCCATAGATTTATCTTGGCGATAATATTTTGAACCTTTGTTGTTGTAGAAAATAATGTTGTCAGAGTGGGCTCAGCCACTCTCAGTGTAGCCTGGCTCACCAACACGCGTCACTCGAGTGACGAGTGTGTGCGTGTGGATGTGTATGTGTGTGTATCCAGTGGCGAGACGTGCAGTGCAACGTCCGTATACTTCTCGCATCGATAATAGTTAAACCTTGTTAGTCCAGATAATAGTCTTGTCTGAGTGATCCTCATCACTCCCAGTGTAGTGCATATGAGAATGAAAACACATGTCATTATTGCTGTCTGACATAAGTGCAGAACACAATTAACAATTATAGTTGACTGAAGTGATATTGCTTTGTAAATAACCCAAATATCAAAGTAAAGTTTGTAATGATATCAGGTGCGAGTGTTAGAGTGGGCATAGTGAGTGCTGGTCGACTGTAGCGAAAACAATGAGACAAAGAACGTGCCCTGATGAGTGAGACAAGGCGCGCGAACGGTGGAGATGAGACAAGGTGCATGCACGTGTCCTAGTAAATGACAGAAAGTTAAGGAGCTGACAAGCATTACTATCCTGAGGGTAGCGATAGTCACAAGAAAGTGACAAAGTTAAATACCACCAGCCTGAGGGCAGCATATTTACGTGAACGTGACAAAATTAAAGTTAAATACCACCAGCCTGAGGGCAGCACAGTCACATGAACGTGACAAGATTAAAGCTAAATACCACCAGCCTGAGGGCAGCATAGTCACATGAACGTGACAAAATTAAAGTTAAATACCACCAGCCTGAGGGCAGCATAGTCACATGAACGTGACAAAATTAACGTTAAATACCACCAGCCTGAGGGCAGCATAGTCACATGAACGTGACAAAGTTAAGTATTAGCAGCCTGAGGCCAGCATAGTCACATGAACGTGACAAAGTTAAGGAGATGACAAGTATTACTAGCCTGAGGGCAGCGATAATCACATGAAAGTGACAAACTTAAATACCACCAGCCTGAGGGCAGCATTGTCACAAAAATGTGACAAAGTTAAGTATC